GATGACACTCCCATCATCCTGTGTAGCTCACAGTGATTCAATAGGGCATACATAACGGGGGGGGGGGGGGGGGGGGGGGGGGTTCACTAACTTGATGAATGTGAACAGCATTTAAGAAGCACAGAAAATACCGGGGCTGTTGGGCTTGAAAAATCTTTAGCTGTGTAATCAATTTCTCTTATATAAAGAAAAAAGAAGAGGCAGAACGGTGGGAGATTAGGTTAAAAAAGCATATAGCATAATAGCCTGCCAAGGAACCTGGACGTTATATTTTCGTCTAAGTGTATCCAGAAATGAAAAGACTCAGGATGCAAAAGTATTTACTAGCGTTAACAACAGGAGCAGCTAAAAAGCAATGACATAGGACTTTGGGGCAAGAAATTGTGGAGGATATTTGGACACCCAACTGTATGACTTGTGCCTAAGATATATGAGTTTCTGTGTTTGCATTCCTGCCGCTTCCCCAAGGAAGGGGAACGCAGACCGCCTGGGAGGCAGGAGACGTCGTCTCTAGACCCGGTCTGGCTCCCGCCCCTTCCTGCTGCGGCGAATCCAAGCCTGGCTAGGGCCATCCGCCGCAGCGGACACCAAGAACGGAGACCTCGGCACTCACCGACGAGGCAGGCAACGGACCTAGCCGGGCCCGTGTCCACACTGACGCTCAGAACGTCTGTCGGGTTTGGATTCTACCTAGCCCTCACTTACCCAGGGGGCCCTTCCCCGCGGCCTTCGCTTTTAACTCCTCGAGTTTCTTCTGCTCCTCTTTTTGCTTCTGCTTGAATGCCTTTTCGTCCTAGGGAGAAGCAGAGCGGGTTCACTCCAGGCGGGTTTCCCAGCCCCTCCGCGCCCGCCCACGCCTCCGCGCCGCCCTTCCTTACCTCGTCCATCTCCCTGGACTGCTTCTTGGGCTGCTTCAGCGGCTTCTTCTTGCCACCTATGGGCGACATGAGCACGCTCAGCCCGGCCCCCACAGGGTCCCGTCACTTCGCCCCGCCACCCCCTCACACTCACCTTCGCGGCCGGACATGGCGCCTGCCGCCCCTTCCCCAGACCCTGCCACCGGAAGCGGAGCTCCTGGTCCCACCCCTGAGCCTACGCCTCCACGCGGGCCAGCTGATTGGCTCCTAGTCAGGAAGCGGCGCTCTCACTGCCGGAAGCGGCCCTCTGGAGGCGGGCGCTAAAGTCTCAGAGATCAATTGAGTGGCGGGCGCTCGGTTGGGGTTACAGCGCCGGTTCTAGGCGGGCCAGGTACGGGGAAGAGGGTTTGAGGGAGGCATTCTGCCAGGCGAGGCTCCGGAATCCAGGATGGGTGCTTAACCGGAAAGCACCAGGCCTGGGACCGTGCGTGGGCAAAGCACTGCAGGTAGATAGAAGGGCGTGTGCAGAGGCCTTGAAGTTTGGCGCATTTCTGGAACCCAGGAAAGCACAACGTGACTGGAAGGAGATGCGGGGGAGGTGGCAGAAGTGGGCCAGGGCTAGCTCACCTGGTCCTAGAGCTTTGGAGGCCACCCGAAAGAGTTTGGGTTTTATAATGTACGGGGTGCAACTTTTTGCAAATTCTATTCATTCATCCAATACATTTTTGTTGAATACTTACTATATGCAGATAATGTTCTAGGCACTGAGGATGCAGCAGTGAACAAAACAGTGCCTGCCCTGGCATAGCTGACATTCTAGTGGGTGAGACAGACCATAGCCCAGTAAATAAGTGAAATACATGTCCCAGGTCATGTGATAATGTGGGCGGAGAATAATAAAGCAAAGAAACTGGGTAAGGAGTGCCGGGGTGGGGGTGGATGGCAATGACAGTTGAGCAGGGACTTGAAAAAGAGGAGAGAGAGAGCAGTACAGAGAGTGGATGCTTGTGTGAAGGCTCTGAGGTGGGATAGCTTAGTGTGTGCCAGCTGTATCAGGCAGTCCATGGTAACTATGTGAGGTGAAGGATGTGTTAGCTAACCCTATTGTGGTAAACATTTAGCAATATACAGGTAGGTGTATCACATCATCACATTGTATACCTTAAATATATACATTGTATATGTCAATTATATTTCCATAAAGCTGGGGTAAAAAACCATCCTGTGGCTGCAGCAGAGTGAGGAAAGGGAGACTAGTGGGAAATGAGGTCAGAGAAGAATGACAGCCTGGAGGTGGATGTCCTGTAGGCCATGGAAAGGATTGGCTTTTACCTTGAGAGAAATGGGGAACCATTGCAGGGTTTGAGCAGAGAGAGACGTGTTGAAAGGGCCACTGTATTAACAATCGACTCTAGGGGCTAGAGTAGAAGCAGGGAGACCTGTCAGGAGGCTCCTAGAATAATCCAGGCAAGCGATGATGGTCATTGGGACCAGGTGGTAGTAGTGGCAGGGGCAAAAGTAAGAGGGATTCTGGACTTAAGAAGGAAATAGCATTAGCTAATGGATTAGATGTGAGGTGGAAAAGAGTCAGGGATGATGAGAGATTTTTGGCCTGATATGGACTTGGGGTTCCCATCAACCAAGATGGAGAAGGCTGCGGGGAAAGCAAGTTGGGGAGGGAAATTATGATCCCCATTAACCTTGCATCAGAAATGTAGATTGGGCAGTTTGGTAAATGAGCCTGGAATTCAGAAGAGAGGCCTGGGCTGGAGAAGGTAGTATAGTTGGTTTTTAGTTTGAGGTAACAGCTTTATTGAGATATAATTTACATACCATATAATTCTACCTAATGTGTACAGTTCAGTGATTTTAGTATTTCACAATGTTGTGCAACCATCACTATAAATTTTAGAACATTTTTATAGATTTGTTTTAAAGCCATGGGACTAGATGAGAGAAGAGTCTGAGGACTGAGTCCCGGGGCACTCTGTGTGGGAAGGTTAGGAAGATGAGTGGGGACCAGAAGCCAAGTGTAGAAAGCGTTGCAAGGAGAAGGAAGCTATCATGAGGCACAGGCCACTGGCAGGGCAAGTAATGAGGACAGAATTGATCACTGGGATTTAGCATTGTAGGGGTGACCTGGCCAAGAGCAGTTCCAGTGGCATGGTGGGAGGGAAGGCCAGATCAGAGAGCGTTTAAGAATGGGAGAAGAGGAGCTGGAGACAGCACGTACGGACAGTCTGTCAAGGAGTTTGGCAGAGAAATAAGGCAGTTGCTAGAGGGGGTATCAGATCAATCGTCTGAGGAGGAGAGGACATGGGACCTGGGGCCCAGCTTGGTCTTCCCTGGAGCATGGATTCTTCATGCTGAGGAAAAAGAGAGAAGGTGGAAATGGGACAGACACTGGCAGGTGGGAAGGTGTGGGACGTTCTCTTCCAATTTTTAGATATTTTCTTTGTACAAAATGAGGCAAGCCATCAGCTGCAAGTGAGGATGAGGTACAGATGATGGAGGTTTGAGGAAGGGCATTTGGTGGAGAAGGTCATCAGGATGGAGTGAGAGAATGGATTTGGAGGGGCAAGATTCTGTATTTGGACCTCAAGGCCCTGCTTAATTTGGCCTCTGTCCACCTGTCCAGCCTCTCCTCCATCCATTCTCATCTGCTTCCCAGCTGCCCTGGCTGCCTTTTAGGTTTTAGATGACCTCAAGCACTTTTCCACTTTCCCCCTCTGCCAGAAACATCTTCCCTTTGCTAGTTGAGGGGTTTGTGAGACATCTCAGGGGGGAGGAGCTGAGAGACAGGCTGGGGCTGGAGGGTGGGAGACTGAGAGGAGAGACTGGAGCGGAGGAACAACGGGGGGTCATTGGTGCCTTCCCTCATGAAGCAAAGTCCCTGCTGTCACTAAGCTTATGTCCTAGTGATGAAGGGCTAGGCAACAAATAGAGAAGGCACTATGTGTCTGATGGAGGAAAATCAAGCAGATAAGGTGGCCAAGGAGGGAGTGGTCAAGGAAGGCCTTGCCAAGAGGTGATATCCGAGCAAAGACATAGACGTCAGCGGGAGCTGACTGTATTGTAGAGGAAGAGTGGTCTAGGCAGAGGAAGTAGCAGGGTCGTGCTTAGCATGATAGGGTGGCTGGGGTGGGGTACAGGGATGGAGAGAAAGAAGGGGGTGAGGACCGAGACGACCAGGGCTTGTTGGCCACTGGCAGGACTGGTGTTTTTTTTTTTAAAGATTTTTATTGGGGAACTGGGGGATGGGAACAGCACTGGGGAATCGGGGGAAGGGGAACAGACAAGTTGCTGTCCTTTTGTTCTTCAGTCGAGTTGTGGAGGACGTTGCTTCACTGGCTCAAGTTGGCACCATCATTGCACTCTTCCTGGGCGAGGCAGATCAGTCGCCGGCTTCTAGATGGCGGCTCACGGTGGCTGCTGGCTGCTCATGCTGGCTGCCGGCCACACACGGTAGCCCATGGCAACCCACTGCAGCAGGGGCTGCAGCCTATGCTGTTGCCGGTCGGTGACTCACGGCAGCCCAGCTCCTGGTTGAGCTGTTGTTCAGCATCTTAGCTGTAGAGGGCAGTGTCACTGGCCCTCATATGTGGAATCCGAACCAAGGCTCTCTGGTGTCCCAAGCCAGCTCTTAACCAATGCGCCACTCGGCCGGCCCAGGACTGGTGTTTATGCCAGGTGAGATGGGTGCTGTTAGGGGTTTCGAGCTGAGGGATATGATCTGACTTACGAGTTAACAGCATCTCATTGCCACGTGAAGGACAGCTATGAAGGGCAGGGAGGAAGCCAAGACTTCGTAGGAGGCTGTAGCTGTCATCTCTGCCAGGGATAGGTCCAAGAGCGGGTAGCTGGTGGAGAGAGAGCTGGGAAAGGAGGCTGAGAAGGTCGGAGGAAGCCTAGAGGGGTAGTGATTTAAAAAAGACAGGGTGTTGACAGCTGCAGAGAGGTTGGCGAAGAAATCTGAGAAGCACCTGCTGTATCTGGCAAGGTGGACGCTTTGCAGGGCCTCCAGGAGAGCAGCCTTGGTGGGATGGGATTGAGAGAGGTGGTCTGAGGAAGTAGCGACAGCCCAGGTAGACACCTTTCTGCTGAGCGCTGCTGAGAAGGAGCGTGCGTGCTATGGTTGGCAGGGCTGCAAGGCTGTGTGCTTTGCTTTGATGAGGGGTACACCCGCAGGATCATTGTGGGGTCACAGCTTGTGTGCAGTGGGCGCTGGCATTGAGGCCTAGGAGGCTTGCCCGACCACTGGGTCATGCATGACGTGTTCCCTTGGGCCTTATGAATGGGACCCAGGGGTTCAGGTATGGCACCAGCTTGAGACCACTGTTAAAGGGGTGCGCCCTTCTGTGGCTCTCAGCTCGGGCCCACTTTGTCTAGGAGGTATGTCCCTCCCCATCCGACTTTGTTTTCCAAAGGGCTTGAGCTGCTCTAAGCACAGCTCAATGGGTAGGAGGCCCTGAGCGGGTTTGTTTCACATCACCTTACGTCAGGAAGCCCCTTTCTTTGTAACTGGAGTGCCTCCAATTTGCCTTCCTATCCCGTTTCCTCTCCTTTTTTCTCTCTGGCCTCATTCTTTGGCCACCAGGTGTCACTCTTGACAGCCAGAGTCAGTATTCCAGGGCTTGTAGGGTGGAGGGGCAGCTTGGCCAGAGGAGGGTGCTGCTGGCTCAGGTTTCCCCGGGAGCCTGGGTCACGTGTCCATCTCTTTGGGGGGTTTCTCAGAGTCACAGCTGCTCTTGGGCTTAGGCAAGGCCTGACTGGATAATTGGGGACTCCCTGTGCCGTTGAGGTGGAGAAGTAGGCGTTGTTGGGGCCCACACATCAAAGCAAAGTTGAAAAAGGAAAGATTAAAGAAACCTAACCTGTTGAGCGGTGACTAAGGTTGGTGAGGAGGGAGAAAGCTTAAGGAAAGTGAGAATGTGAGACTGGCAGTTGGAAAGTCTGGGCTTGCAGGGTAGATGGAGAAGAGTTAGTGGGAACCTAAGAAAAGTTGTCCTCTGTCCCCAAAATCCCCTCAGTTCCACAGTTTCCCCGGGAGCCTTTATCAACATTGTGGGCTTTGTCAGCATGGGCGCAACTCAGGTTTGAGAATTTTCTTTGACATCATCAGAAACCTGGGCATCAGAATTCTTATCTGAGTCATAAGAGCCCTGGGGGTGGGGGAAGGTGGGTGGAGTGAGAGGGCCTGGTTTGTGTGGCTTCGTGGAGGGAGGTGGAAGGCGCGATTTCCTAACTGTTCTTTGTGTCCTCTTGTCCGGGTGCACCCAGGGGGAAACCTGACCACCGTGGCTGCCGCCTCCAGGCCCAGGGGAGTAGCGCTAAGCAGAGTAGCATTGGACTTTTTAATGGAAGTTAGTCATTTCAGAACTGTCCCTTGGTCTTGAAACCTGACTTATGCCCAGCCTCTCTAGGCTGTGAGTTGATCTGTCTGGTGTCCCCCACAGATTTCCTGATGACAGGGTGCAGCCCTGTGTTTGCCATGCAGCACGTCGTGGGTGTGCCCCCTGTGCTGGTGCGGAGAGGCCTCCTTGGAAGGGACCATTCTGTGACCAGGACTCTCTGCAGCCCAGGCCCCAGCCAGCCAAGAGAGAAAGGACCTGAGGAGGTGGCCCTTGGGCTGTCCCACCGTGTCACTGCGCTGGGAAGAGCCCTGGGGCGTGGCATTCGGCAGCGAGCGTCCTCCACAGCTAAGACTTGGTGGGACAGATATGAAGAGTTTGTTGGACTCAATGAGGTTCGAGAGGCCCAGGGAAACGTGACTGAGGTGAGGAGGGGAGCCCGAGTGGTTGGTCCTGCCCTCTGACGGGGGAAATGTGGCCTGGAGGCTCCTGCCAAGCAAGTCACCAGCCACGTGGCTGAGAAGCCACCACGAGTTGCCTTTTCTTGAACAAATACCACTAATAGGGGGTTTGACTGTTTCTCACCTGACAGCTTACTGGGGTGAAGATCTCTATAACTGTACCCCCACCCACCCACCCTGAAAACAAGTTGCTGTGTACCAGCGAGCCCCTACCCATTAGCATCCTTTCTGTCAGGCCAGCAAACACTTCCTTCATTGATGGTTTGGGGGTTGGTGGTGAGAGTTCCCTGTAGGCTTGCTGCATTACAGTGTCCTCAAAGCCCTGTGTGTAATTAAAACACCCCTTGTGAAGGCAGAGGCCCTGGGAAACGTCCTTCTGTGAGGTCAAAAGAGCTGCCTGTCTATCAAGTCCTTTGTGGCAGAGGAAATACATTCTGTCATCTCCGTTCCCACTCCTGCCTCGGTGTGGACCAATGTAGTGAGTGGGGAAGAGCCCGGGCTTCACCTGGAGGTTTTGAGGCACGGTGCTGTCTCTCCCCTTGGAGGTCATGACCTTGGTTGAGACGGAGTTCCTGGGTCTGCAGAATGGAGGCTGTAGCAGTGCCTTTCATGGCCCTGTTGTGAGGTGTAAATAAGGTAACACACGGAAACATCTTTCATAGGTTCTTTTTTTTAAAATTATTTTTTATTATGAAATACACATTTTTTAGAATTAGTTTCAGCTGTACAACACAGTGCACTAGTTATACTTTTTACCCCTCGAAGTGACAATCCCTCTCCCCCAATCGGCTGCCCCACTTCCCCCCAATATCATACATATCTATTACAATTCCCTTGACTCCACTCCCACACTATACTCCATGTCCCATGACTATATATATATTCACTTATAGTTGACATACAATAGTATACAACATCAGCTTCAGGTGTACAGTGCAGTGATCAAGCCTCTTCCCCATCCATGATGCAAGACATGTGACCACCTGACACCCTACAAAATATTTACAACATTATTAATTATATTCCTCGAACTGTCTTTCATGTCCCTGTGGCAATATTGTAGTTGCGTATTTATGCTGTCTAACCCTTCCTCTTCTCCCTCATCCCCACCCCCTCCTCATAGGTTCTTTCCTGGTGTTTGTCACACTAGAGTTGGCTGGGTTTGGTGGACAAAGGCTGTGTGCATTCTTAGCTGTTTTCGAATTTCTCAGGGGCATGTTTTTTCTACTTGAATGGATAAATCCGGTGGTTCTGATGGGCGTGGCCCAGGGCTGCACTCTGAGGAGCGCTGGGTGAGCCAGGATTATGTGTCTGAGGGACTCGCTCTCCACCCTTTGCACTGACACCCCGCTGCCCTGTTCTCAGCCAAGCCTTGTTGGGAATAGACCTGAGCCTGGTGGGTGTGGAGAGAAGGGGCAAATGGTCTCCCTTGTTCTCTCCGCAGGCGGAGAAAGTGTTCATGGTGGCTCGGGGGCTTGTGCGCAAGGCTCAGGAGGACATGGAGGTGCAGCAGGCCAAGCTGAAGGAGGTGAGGGACCGCTTGGACCGAGTCTCCCGAGAGGACAGCCAGTATCTGGAACTGGCTACCCTGGAGCACAGGATGCTGCAGGTAGGCACCTCGGGAGGCAGCCCTTCCTCACCTGGACAGGGACCCTAGCCTGGCAGGTCATGGCGGGGCAAGGCGGAAACCCTGACTGGCCTGGTGGTCAGAGACCTGGTGAGGAGGTAAACCAGAAGCCCCTATGGAGGGACTGGGCCCCAGGCTTCCAGAGCCCATCCACCGACTTCCTCCTGCCTGGAGTACTGGGGTCCATGGGCCAGGGCAATATAATCTGCGCCCCAGATTGCTGAGGAGAGAGCACCATGGAGGGGGCTGGCCCCAAGAGTGCCACACACTTCCTGAGACTGCTCAGGTAGGAGCTTAGTGCAGCTTACCTTGACCACCCCCCATATTCTTCTGCTCCCCCCACCGAACCAGGTTTGTGCTGCCTTCATTCACTAGCATGTAATCTGTGCCAGGTGTGGGGCTGAGCCCCAGGAACATAGTAGTGGGACATCTGCTGGCAGCTGTGGCTGCAGGGTCCTATGGCTGCTGTATAATACAGCTTTCCTTCTGCAGGAGGAGAAGCGGCTTCGCACGGCCTATGTGCGTGCCGAAGACTCAGAGCGAGAGAAGTTCTCCCTCTTCTCTGCGGCTGTGCGGGAAAGTCACGAGAAGGAGCGCACTCGGGCGGAGAGAACCAAGAACTGGTCCCTCATCGGATCAGTCCTGGGGGCCCTGATTGGTGTGGCTGGTTCCACCTACGTGAACCGTGTGCGGCTACAGGAGCTGAAGGCCTTGCTCCTGGAGGCACAGAAGGGGCCTGTAAGCCTCCAGGAGGCCATCCGAGAACAGGCATCCAGCTACTCCCTCCAGCAGAGGGACCTCCACGACCTCACGGCTGACCTAAGGGGCCTGGTGCAAGCTAGGCCAGGGCAGAGCTCTGGTTCCCAGGCAGGTACTTCCCACAGCCAAGACAGAGACACAGATGTCCTTTTAGCTGCCTTGAAAGAGCAGCTCAGCCATTCCAGGCAGGTCCGTTCCTGTCTAGAGGGTTTACAAGAGCAGCTTGACGGCCTGGAAAAGACTTTCAGCCAAACGGCTGGGGTGGTTCAGCTTGCAAAGGCTGTGGCACATCCAGGCCTGGTGGACCCAGCAGATGGGGCGCTGCCTGGCTCCTTGCTGGAGCAGGGGGTCGTGCTTATGGCGCTATCGGACATGGAGCAGAGGCTAGAAGCCCAGGTCAACAGGAACACCATCTACAGCACACTGGTCACCTGTGTGACAATTGTGGCCGCAATGCCTGTGCTCTACCTGTTTTTCAGAGCCAGCTAGCCCCCGGACCATCCTCTGGAGGGCCTGAGGGATGGGTGTGGATGCAGATGTAGTTAGAGAATCCCAGCAGTGAAGTGAGCCTTTGGGGTGCACACAACCTCAGCTGGAATCTGAATACCATCTGCGTGGCTCACCAGCAGGCATACTTTGCTTTTTAGGCAACGTTCGTTTACATTAATTATGAAAACTTTGTGCTAATGTCCAATAAAATGTCTTTGAATTTGTATTAAAGTAATTTATATCGGACTGAGTTTTATCTGCTGAAAATTGAGATTTGGGACTCTAGGGTTTGGCTTGGAATTAAGGTAATCACCCCCTTTAGTCCCTCTCTCCTCTCCATTGGTCTTGTCCTTGGTTCGGGACCATTTTGGATACACTTAGCCTCGAGGCCTGGATTTTCATTTTGGATTTCCTGGCCTGCCTGACCCCCATGTGGCGGGTGGCCTGGGTGTTCCCATGAGTGGAACCTAGCCTACTTCCCACTCATTGGTGACCATGGTTACTGCCCTTCTTCTGGATCACTTTCTCTGCCATGGTGGGGAGAACCTCCTGAATGGAATGCTGGAGCGATGATCAGAGGAGAGCAGGGAAGAGGGGTTGGGGGAAGGGTTAATAAATATTGCTGGAGATGTAATTACAGGGATTGATGGCCAATCTGGGTCCCTGGTGCAGAGTGCTTTGGGCAGGACTGGTGTGCCACGAGGGCTGGGTGTCCCACGCACAGCCCAGGGGTGGCCGAGCTCAGCCCATCAGTAGTGTGAATGGAGAGGCAGTGATGGGGAGAGGCCTCCCAGAGGTGGGAGGTGCAGTGCGGGGCATGGAGGCAGACTGCCCTGAGAACCACTGACCTCTCCCTTTTCAGAGGGGAAGGGCAACCTTTGACCTCCCGGGCTAAATGGCCCCTGTGGCCTTGTGTAGCCTTGAGTAAACAGGAGCAATAGGGAGGCACTCTGTACTCCCATTGATGTGGTGGACCTGCAGGCCTCCAGAACCTTTCAGAGCGAGCAGAGGTGCTCTACAGGGTATGCGGGCCAGGGCTTTGCAGGCTGGCTCAGCAGAGGCCTGTGGAGCCAGAGATGTTTCTCATGAGGCGCCCTTCCTTTTTGGAGCCTGTGCTCAGGCCTGGGCAGTGAGTATGGCCCAAGTGGCCCCATATGTGCTAAGAACCTCTGAGCACCTGGTCCCTTGGTCATTTGGTCACTTCATCCTTGTCACGGTTTTCTTTGTAATGGTTCCCCAGGATGGCATGGGATGACACGACCTTTGCACTTGGGATGCTCCCCTTTTGATGGGGTAGGAGGTGCCATATCAGATGAGGAGCACTGTGAGATTTGGAAGTCCCAGGTCCCCGTCTGGGTGAGGTAGGGCCTAAAGGGTGTGTATTTGAGTGAATGGATTTAGGGAGGGGAGGATTCTGGGCACGTGGAAGGGGCTCCCCACAAGCAGCACAGGCAGGAAAGCTAGGGTAGACTGACATGGCTGAGGTGGTGATGGGTGTAGGGGAGTGTGGAGCTTAAGGATAGAGAATGAGGTGGAAGACCTGGGGTGCCAGATTGGCAGTCACCTGGGGTCTCTGATGTCAGAAGCCAGGGATGAGGGAACGGGAGGGGGTTCCATGCCAGTGCAGACCAGGTACTGAGTGCCTGGCCTCAAGTGCTGGGAAAGGTAGAGGAAAGGGAGTGACCTGTGGAGTTGAGGAGGGAGAATTAGAAAGGCAGAGTCAGGTAGAAGAAGAGTGAAGGCAGACTCTTGAAGGGGAGGGCAGGGGCGGGGTGGGGGTGGGGGAGAACAGGGTGCCTATGTGGTGTTAGAGCCTTTTGGACAGTAGCAAGTATGGGTGACCTGAACTTTCTGGTTGAGGCTCCCCCCAAAACCTGGGGAGGCTCTGGGATCTTCCAGGGTGATGTGTGTGTGTGACAAATTTTTCATCCCAGGAGGCCATCCCAATGGCCTTGAGCCAAAGTCCTCCAAAAGTCCTAATAGGATGGGTCAGGTCCTGGCTCCTGAGTTTGCAATGGGCAGGCCAGGGTGAGAAGGGCCCAGCAGGGGGCACAAATGGGCCACTGGAGAGAACGCTTCTGCCCAGCGGTTCCTCCCTCCTAATGCCTAGGTATTTGTCAGTGAGGGAGTCTGGACTTGCCCAAGCTTCTCCGTTTGGGGTGGATCCAGGTACAGGCCTGGGAGAAAACGAAGGAAATGCGCCCTTGCGTGTGCACATTTACAGCCGATGTTGCCCTCTTTTAACAGCCGGGCAAGGTGTGGTATCACCTCCTTTTGCCGGTGAGCAAATAAGCCTGTGGATCTAGTCGGGGGCGGGGGTCAGGTTACTTGGCTTAGTGATGGCGCAAACCCAGGCCCAGCCCCAGAGGCTGCGCTCTTCCCGCACAACCAGAGGTGGGGGCCGGAAGGAGGGGTTGGCTGTTTGGGAGTCCAGGGAGTAGGGGCAGTGGGCAGGACCTGGTGCGGTGGGAGAAACAAGGCGCCTAGGTAAAGAAAGTTGGAGGAGGCCGACTACGGGAGCCAGGTATCGGAAGGGAAAGAGGCAGCTCGGGGGCACTGCAGGGCAGAGGTGGTGCCCAGCTAGCAGCCGGGGCAGGTGAGGGGCGTGGGTCCCACCCGGCGCTGGCGGGTAGGAATAGGACCCGGCGCTGTACCACCACACCTTGGGGGTGCGGAACGCGACCCTCCTCACAGCCCCTCCCGTCCCGGGAGTGCTCCCAATTCCAGTTCCAGCGCAGCACAGGTAAGGCGCGGCAGGGACGGGGCGGGGTGGGGCTGCCGCGCTCCGCTTCACCCCCCACCCCCAACCCCGCCGCGCTCCGCGTTGCCATGGCTACCGCCCGGGTGCCTGACCCCCACATGGGAGGGGTCGAGTCCCCCTCCCTCCGCACTTGCGGAGCCCGCTGGGCTGGAAAGCGGGGTCCCGGGCGGCTCGGGGCGCGCGCCCGGCTCTCCCGGCTGCTTCCGGCCTGGCCTGGGCGGCGGGCGGGGGGAGGGCGGCCCGGCGGGCCCGGACGACGCGGCTTTGTCTCCTTTGTTCCGGGCGGTGGCAGCGCCGCGGCGGGAGGGGCGGGCAGCGGGCGCAGTTTTCCGCCCCTCGGTCTCCGGGTAACAGCTGCGGCTCCGTCAGACCCACCTCCGGGGGTGTGTGTGTGTGGGGGGGCGGGCAGCGAAGTCGCCGCGCGCAGATTCCCGAGCCCGGAGCGGCTGGCGCCCGCCTCGGCGCGCTAGTCCCGCGGGGCCCAGCCGGGCGGTGAGTGCGGGGACCCGGGCCGGGCGGTGGGGGGCCCGGCGCGGCGGCGCACCCCCGGGGTGGCGGGCCTGAGGCTTCGATCCCGCGGGGCAGGGGCAGCCCGGGTGAGTGGTGGGCGGCTTCGGTCCTGAGAGTTGGGACCATACTTCTTCGCGCGAAGGGAAACTCTGGCGGCTCCGCCTGTAACGCGATTGGGAGACAGAGGAGGTGGAGCTGCTCCTCCGCGCCCCCTCCTCGCCGCCGCCGCCTCAGCTGGAACCGGCCGGCCCCTTCCCCGCCCTCCCAGGACCACTGGTGGGGTCCTTGCCCCCGCGGCCCTGAAAAGAGGGAGGAGGGTCGGGGAAGAGCCGATGGGGAGTCGAGGCTTCCCTTCTTGTAGTGGCCGACCCACCAGGCTGCTGTGCTCAAGGCGGCTGTACCCCAGAGGGGGACCCCCCTTCTCGGTACACTGACGGTCCTTGAGTCCTCGCGGGTGCCGGGTAAATGGTGGATCCTCCCACCCCACGTCAACACACAGACAACAGGGCGAGCAGTGTGCACTCCAGCACTGTCAATGAATAACTCTTCTCCTGGGTGGACCCTGCGAGCCCAGCAGGATCACCGAAAGGAAAGGCCGGTTGCCCACTCTTCCCCCGTCCTCGGAAATGAGGGCTGCGTATGATGACCCTTCTCCAGACGTGGAAGGGCAGAGTTTGTGAGCCCCTTTGGCTGGTGAGGACAGCCCCAGGAGGGCCTAGGTGGTGCTGGCGCTTTGCAGACAGAAGTTAGGCAGCCTTGGGCCCTGCTGAAGAGGTTCAGAGAAAGGTGGGCCAGAAGAGACCCCAGCACAGGCCGGGGCACAGGCATAGTGAGGCTCTGGCTGTGAGCCTGGACGGGGCCTGAGATCTGCCGAGTGGGCAGGAGATCCCGGCTGTGGAAGTTGGGGATGTGAGGCCTGGCTCCAAACCATCCTTTTCAGTCGGCTCTGGCCTGGTCATTAACAAAAGTGGGGCTCACACCTTGTCCTTTGAAAGGCCAAGTAGCTTAGAGAACCCCATATCTCCCCTACTGGCTTGGTTTCCTTGGCCATGAAATGGGGGTTCTTTCGACATACCAGGAACGCCTGCTCTGTGTTAACCTGTTCTGAGTTGCTGGGGCCTCTGAATCAAAAGCCACACTCCCTGCCTTCAAGGAAGTTCAAGTCCACAGTGGGAGGGTGGAACAGGGAAAAGTGCCCTTGGTTGGTGCCACTAATGCCAGGCACACGCCATATCATGTTTAACTGTCAGAGCAGTCGGCCCTGCCTCCTGTTCTGCAAATGGGGACTCTGAGGCTCAGAGAGCCCAAGGCAGAGCTGCAGTGTACTCTGCCACCACAGGGAATGGACTCCTCAGCTGCCCGGAAGGCTCCTTGGGATATGATGGTTGGGAGTGAAGTTAATGGGACAGATAGGGAGTGGGCATTCCAAGCAGTGGAAACAGCCCTTGGTTCAGGCCGGCAGGAATGAGGAGCATGTGTGGGGGAGCACTGGCATGGATTGGATGGGAGAGGGTGGGCGCTGGAGAGGCCTGACCTTCATCACAGGCCCTAGGGTGCCCCAGAGACTCTGGAGGGAGGCATGTGCTCGGACTCCCGTGAAATGGGAGGGCCTGGGGGCTGCCCTGTGGCCTGTAGCAGAGGTTAAGTGAAATAGAACTGCCAAAAAGGAGGAGAAGCTGTCACTGTCCTTATTTTCCTCCTCTCCTACCCCTGGTATGTGGGGAAGGGCAAGGGGTGCTAGGCGGTGTTCAGAGAAGATAGAAGAAGCCTGCCACTTTTCCCAGGGTGGGTCATCCACCAGCCTCCTCTGGCCTGGCCAGGAGTTTGTCTGAGCCCGCCCATCTTCTTCCTGTGGGCCACCCAGTTGTGATTTTAGATTTGGGAGTGTCTTGGTTGCTGCCCCTTGCGGGCTAGAGAACCTTGGCACATAGTAGGCACTTGCAAATGTTTGCAAGTGAATAAAG